TTAAACCTTTTAAAAATTAAATTATTTTTAAAAAGTAACGCTTTAATGCTTTTAATATTCAATTAAAATCTAAAATTTAAACTAAAATTCATTTTCGAATCAATTTTTATTAGAAAATTCTACGAGAATTCAATTATTTAAAATATTTAATTATACAAAAAAACCATTTATTGAATAATTGTATGTTTCTTAAAATTGAATTCATTTGACGAATTTTAATAAAATTTTTAAGAATAATTACATTTTTCGAGAATTTTGATTAAAATTGTAATATAAAATTAATTAAAATTTTGCAATGACTTTTATTATTCATGAAAATAATTAAATTCCTAAAAAGAATTTTATTATTTACGAAAATAATTAAATCCCTGTTAAAATATTATTTATAAAAATAATAGAATTATATTGCGAAGAAATTTATAAAAAAAACTTGTAAATAATTGAATTCCTGTGAAATTTTTATTATTTTATGAAAATAATTGAAGGTTTGTGTAGAATATTAATTAATTTTTTTAAATACATAATTGAATTCTTTTGGAAAATTTAAATAAAATAGTAGATATTAAAAATCATTGAATTGAGAAAAGTTTTTGAAAATAATTGAATTTCGAAGGAGAATTTTATTATTATTCATGAAAATAACTGAAATTTTGAAGGGGAATTTAAAAAAATTCCAACATCATGAAATTTCTGTAGAAAATTTTATTACTTTTGAAAATAATTAAATTTTTGAAATTATTTGTAACTTCTCCAAAATTTAATTTTTTTTAGTGTTTTTAACTAAAATTCTTCTGTATAGATTCATTATATTTATTAATTTATTTAACATATATATTAAAAAATTTAACTATATAATATCAGAAGAATTTAAATTTAAATTGTACTAAAAATAATTGAATTCTAAAAAAGAATTTTATTAGTTACGAAAATAATTAAATCCTTGTAGAAATTTTATTATTTATGAAAATAATTTAATGATTGCAAAGAAATTTATCAAAAATTTGTAAATAATTGAATTTCTGTGTAATTTTTATTATTTCTAAAAATAATTGAAGTTTTGACGAGAATTTAAAAGAATTTTTGAACATAATTGAATTTTTGCGAAGAATTTTATTATTTTTGAAAATAATTGAATTTCTGCAATCATTCGTAATTTCCCCAAAATTTCCCAAATTATATCGTACAATTTACGAACTTTTCGTCTTTTTTCAATAAAATTACGGACTTTACGGACCTTTTTAAAAAAACGTACTTTTACAGACTTCAAGCAAATTTACAGACTTTTACGGAATTTACGGACCTAGTTCGAGCTCTGTTTAAATAAATTAATAATATTAATTTTTTAATAATAATTTTAATTATTTAACATTAAATAAAAATTATTGAATTGAATAATAGAAATTATAAGGTAAATCGAAATTAAATTAAAATGAAAAAAAAATAACATAAAAAGTAGAATATTTTTTTTCGGAAAGTTTCTTACAAAAGTTTGAATTGCTAATTAAACTATATCTAAAGAGCAAAAGTTACTCCTGCAAATTATCCATAGCTTATAAAGAAAATTTATATACCTTATCTTTTCAGCAATATTATCGATAAAGACCTGACGTGATTTTATTAACGGAAAACTTCTCTACACGCTTCTCTGGACATCATATAGTAATTCTATCTGAGTAATACAATCTAAAAGATGCATCCTGAGATGATCAAAGGCACTGGTCTGTCCCACAGTCACTTTCCCAAGGGACAAACTGAATAACTTTGTTACTGATTTTTATTCATTTTTCAAATAAATATATTTACACACAGTTATAAACTTCTAATTCAAAACAAATCTATATATGACTTTTCAAATATCGAGTACTTGTATAATTATTAATAATATTTGTCACTCTTTTCATATCACGGCAAATTTTCTCCAAATTCATATTTACACTATCTTTTGAAATAAATTTTTTCTTTGAATCTTCATACTCGACCTCGATAAAAAAATAAATTAATTAGAATTATTACTCGACTCAGCTTCTTTGACGAATTTTTTTTTTTTTTTATGATGTAAACTTTATAATTTATATCAAAATTATTTTTTAGAAATTGATTTTTTTTGTTTGGTTTCAAAGAATCGTATGGTATAAAGAGAAAAAGTCACCACTCTATACATATAGAAAATCAAGTTTCTCAATATAAAACCATTGTAAATCAATTTGAGAAAAAGTTTTCATCAAGAAATTCACTTAAAGCTCACCGTGTTTCGCAATGTCAGCTCTTTTCGATCCCCCAGCGAATAGTTTCTCTCAAACATTCGTACACTACTTTCTTCCTCAGCTTTTTCTTCCGCCAATAATAATTTCATCCTTATTTGACTCAAATAACTTTTTACACGAGTATTCCATGCCTCCATTTTTTCAATTTCATTTGTCCATTTTTCAAATAATACATCTGCTTTGATTCAATTAAATTTTATGTTTTTTCTTTATTTTAATTAAGTGAATGAAGAAAAATAAATCATAAATTTATACACAAAATTTATTTAGTTTACCCAAAGTATTTATTTAAATTCAAAAAAATATTTGCTTGTTTCAAAAAAATATATGTGTACAAATATAGAAAAATATATTCTTTCCTCGATTTAAATAATTTATTACGAATGTTTTAATTCAAAAAAATTTGGATATAAAAATAAAAATTTCTTTCTTGATTTAAATAGAAGTTTTCGCCTCGGATCGACTTTTAGGCGCATAAAAAATTGCTTTAATTATACTTAAAAAAACAAAAAAAGATCGAAAAAGTTCTTTCAAAATATTATTTTTTACCATTTTCAATTAAAGTTCTTTTCTAAATCAACTGTTTAATAATTTTCCAAAACATCTTCGAGAATTCAATTATTATTTAAATACAAAAATACAATTTTTTATAATAATTATAATTTCACGGTTTTTTTAAAAGTTATTAAAAATGAATTATATTGAAAATAATTAACCAAAAATATTTGAAAATTGATTTTTAAAAAATGATTCATTTACTAATTAATAATGTTAACAATTAAATTTTTAAAATTCGTTTTCAGAAGTATATCAAAATAATTTTTAAAAGATAACAGGTTCTTCCAATTGAAAAGTTTCCATATTATTAAAATTTAGCTCACATTTTTTAAAATAATTGAATTTTTTAAAACAATTTTTGGAAAATATTAAAAAATAATCAAGTTTTTAAAGAATTTTAATAACAAAAATGGAAATGAATTTTTTAAAAAATTTTAAGTTAAGTCTAAAAAAGTAGGTAAATTTAAAAAGATTTTAATTTCCTGTTTTTGAAAATAATTTAATTTTTTAAAAGAATTTTTGAAAAATATTAAAATTATTTATTATTTATTATTATAATCAAGTTTTTAAAGAATTTTAATATCAAAAATGGAAATAAATTTTTTAAAAATTTTATTAATTAGTCTAAAAAAGTTGGTAAATTTAAAAAAAAGTTAATTTCCTTTTTTTGAAAATAATTGAATTTTTTAAAATAATTTTTGGAAAAAATTAAAAAAATATAATCAAATTTTTAATAAATTTTAAGAGCAAAAATAAAAATGTATGATTTTTAAAAAAAATTTAATGCTAATAAAGGGACCATTCATAAATTACGTAACGCTTTTTTTGGTCATTTTAGACCCCCCCCCTCCCTCATGTAACAAACTTTTACATACATTAGCGCCATTTTTATAATGAGTGTAACAAATATCTTGACCCCCCCCCCCTTTCCCTGAAGCTTTACGTAATTTATGAACGGCCCCTAAATCTAAAAAGTAGATTTTTAAAAATTTTAATTTCCTTTTTTCAAAAATAATTGAATTTTAAAGAATAATTATTGGAAAATATTAAAAAAATAATCAAGTTTTTAAAGAATTTTAATAACAAAAATGGAAATGAAGTTTTTTTTAAATTTTATTCATAACCCATAAGTCTAAAAAAGTAGATAAATTTATAAAAATTTTAATTTCCTGTTTTTGAAAATAATTTTTGGAAAATATTAAAAAATAATCAAGTTTTTAATGAATTTTAATAACAAAAATGTAAATGAATGATTTTACAAAAAATTGTAATGATAAGACTAAAAAAGTAGATGTTAAAAATTTTCAATTTCCTTTTTTCGAAAATAATTGAATTTTAAAAAATTATAATAAAAAAATTCTAAGAATTAGTTTTTCACGAATATTATATAATGTAAATTTTTTAAAAACTAATTGAATTTTTTTAAAGATTTTTTAGACATTTTAAAAAATTACCTAATCAATTTTTTGAAGAATGTTTATTAAAAGTTTTGAACATGATTGTTTTTTCAAAAATTTTAATAAACTTATTCTTTTTAGATATTTAAAATTTCAGAAATGTGTGATTGAAAATATTGAAAGTAATTGAATTTTAAAAAATTAGAATAAAAATATTCTAAGAATTACTTTTTTCAAAAATATTTTAATATAATTTTTTAAAGCAAATTTTCCTTAATTTTCATCTTCAAATTTTCATGATTGGAAATTTTTCATTAAAAATGTTGGAAATTCAATTTTTTTCGAAATTTGTAATTAAAAAATTATTTAAAATGTTATTTTCAAAAATTTTATTGAAATACTTCAAGGAAATCCAAAAAAAGTCGTATTATTCTTTGCCTGTATAAAAATGCACAATATTTTTTTAATTCAATCAAAATTTTTTTGAAACAATAAAACTTTTTTCTGAATGAAACAAAGAATTTATTTTACTAAATTCAACTAAAATTTGGTTATTTAAAATAAATTTTTCCCCAAGTACCTACAATTTTTCAAAAAGAGAAATACTTTCAAATTCAAGAACTTTGTAAACGATTCAAACTTTTGTTTAAAAAAAAAACCAATTTAATCATTTTCAAATAACAACACCTTTAAAATTTTCCTATTATATTTTCAAACTGAAAATCTAATTTCAAATTGTCCCTCTCACTATATGTCAAACTATCAAATATTGAAATGAACGTCATAAATTTTCCCACGTACCACTGTCGTTGCTCATTTGAGTAAATTTCCTGGAATCGAAATCTTCCAAATGTGCCTTGCAATCGGAAACTCTCCTCTCACTTGATTCTGACGATTGCTGCTTCTGCTGCTGCTGCTCCTGTTCAATACCTCGAATAAATTCCTCACTTCTCAATTTATTCACTAGACTCGAATTTCCAACACAATTTTCAATTTGATTTATTTTATTTTTCGTTTCCTTTGTGCGAGACATTTTATTGCTCAACTGCTGATGTTGCTCCTGCATTTCTTCTTTTCCGCCATTTGATTGACGTGATCTTGTACCTACTTGTGAAATCCAGGAAGCTCTATTCATATTCCTCGAGTTAAATAAAGAACAATTTCCAGATAACATTTCAAATGTCTCAAAATTTCCTTGACTTTCTGGAAAAATTGAATTTAACCGGGATTTCATTTCAACTTGACTGTTTTCTTTTAAACTTCCACGGAAATTGTTTTCTTTCTGCACAATTTTGTTCGGCAAATGATGATTATGATGATCATCATTATTATATGGATGATCAAAATGATTATGATGATGATCTTGATGATTATGACGACCATGATGATTGTAGTGATCATAATGATTATAATTATCATCCTGATGATGATAATGATTATAATGATCATCCTGATGGTGATGATTATTCTGATGATGATTATAATGATCATCCTGATGATCATAATGATTATAATTATCATCCTGACGATCATAAGGATTATAATTTATATTATCCTGACGATCATAATGATATTGAAGTTCATCTCTTGACTTCGAAGTCATTTCACTGTCACCTTCGGAATTTGTCGACTTTCCTTCAAATGCAGGAACAATCTCATCATTAAAATATTCCATTCTACCGTTTTTATCACTCTCCTCACAAATTTTCATCAACTTTTTCTTTCCCTCGACTATTATTAATTTCTTCCTCTGATTAATTTCCGATTTCAGTAACAAATCCACGACGGTTCTAATAGTTTCAATGTTCAGTTTTGTTATTTTACTAGAACACTCCCTCCTCTCCGATATTTGTTGTTTTTTGTGATTTTTTCTCCTTTTTCCACTTCTAAATTTAGAGATAAAATTTTCTTCGCTAAATGATGATCCTCGAACAGTTGTAGTTTGACTTTCTCGTTCAACATTTTTGCCTTGATTTTCTAATCGAATTTTCGTAATTGACTCCTCCGAAATTGTGGGATCCGTTCCTCTAATTATTTTACTAAACCTTTTCAGTATTTGAGCAGAGCCCTTCGTTCTTTTTAGTAAACTTTCACTTAATTGATCCCTCACTTTATCCTCGAGCCTTTCTTCCCCAAAACAATCTTTAGGATCTTTAAAATCATCGATTTTTTCTTTTTCAATTTTTCTATTTTCTTCCTCTATTTCCTGTAATTCAATTTCTTGATTTCTTTTTTCAAGCCCCTCGTTTTTAACATGATTACTATTTTCTTCTTTTATAGAAACTTTTTCATTTTTTATTTCCACTTTTCCCTTTTTTGAAATTTCATTTTCAATTCCATCCTTTTGTTTCAATTTATCATTCTCGATTGAAGAATCCAATTTATTTTTCATCATTTTTCTTTGATTTTCCCTTCCACTCATTTCCAAAGCCGATTTCTCCAATTTTCTATTCTCCTCTTCTTCTGCATTTAAAGTTTCTAACTTGAAATCAATCAGAGTTTTAGGATTTAAATTCACATTTTTAATCCGATTGGAATTCTTTTTCTCGACTTTTATTATTTTATCAATTTTTCTCTTTCGCACGGGAATTTTTGATCCTCTCTCATTTATTTTCATTGCGCTCATTTCTTTTAATTCTTGACAAGATGATGAAAAAACTGCTCGATCCACAGATAATGATCTGCCAGAGTTTTTATTTCTGCAATTTATATTTGACACTTGGTCAATCTTGAAATCCTTTTTCAGAGCTTGAGACTCGCTTTTTTCTTCTCTCCTCCTTAATCCTTTAGAAGCATTTGACAATGGAACTGGAATTCTCGATAAAGATTTATTCATCATCCACTTTTGCTTTTTTCTTTTCGAATTATCGACGATACACTCAATTAATTTAATTTCTTTTTCTTCTACTTTCGTTACGATTCGATGATTTGAATCAGATTTCTGGGGATTTAAATGTTCCTGTGGAGAAACTTGTTCGTTTAGATTTGAAACTGTTTCCTGTAGATTCGACACCGATTCTTTCCGATTCAAAACTGTTTTTATATTCAAGTTTTTCAAATTTCGTAAAGCAATTTCTACCGAATTCAATCCAAATTCACAAACATTTCTTACATCACAATTTATCTTCTCAAAAATTAAATTCCCTTTCTTGTCTTCAATCTCCAAATTATCGACTCCCAATAACGAATAAACTTCAAAATAATTCCCCCCTTGAATTTGACTCCCCTCTCTATTTAAACCCCCAATTTTCAAAACTCCCCTCCATTTTTCTCCCCTCTCAAAATTTTCCAACTCTTCATTTATTCCAAAATTTACATTTTTATTATTACACTCAATGTTCCTTGGTGGAAAAGTTATTTTTCCATGAATTTCTTGCTTTGAGTGTACAATACGGATTATATGACAATTCGATAAAGTGACGCATTTCTTTTTACTCGGAGAAAAAACAGCTTTACGTCTTGAATTCAATGGCAAAGAATGGAAATTAGTTTCAAGAGTTTTATTAATTCTGTTTAATTGAAATTGTGGTTGAAAGTGAACTGTTGAATCAATTTTCTCCATAAATTCTTTGTGAAACTTTTCTTTATATAGACGAATCAATACTATTATTAAATCTTCTAAATTGGACAAAGAAGTACGATGACTAATTATTTCAAGATCAGAATGTATTTTTCTTCTAGTTAAATTAAAATCATCTTCAATATTCTCCAATTTGCATAATATCGAAACATCATGAGTGGAATGAAAAGAATTTTTAAATACAAATTTTTTACTCTCTTCACTATTAATATTATCACTATTTTTATTTGAACTATTTGGAAAATTATTTAAAAATTCATTTCGGAAGTTAATTGGAAAATCATTTTGGAAATTATTTTCAAAACTATTTTGGAAATTTTGGAAATTATTTTGATAGCTTTTCGAATATTTAGCGAGAAATGTTTTCAGAAACATGAACTTTAATAATTGGACACAATTTTCTCGCTCACTTTCCAATACATTTAACACTTCTTGATATTTATTTATTAAATCAATATTTTCTTTTTCCAAATTTTTTACTCTGTCGACGATTGTCATTATTTCTGAGGACGTGTTTTTAAAAGGATAATCGTTCTGTGTAACTCGATATTTTAAGAGAAAGTAAAGTCTTTCTTTTTCATTTTTATACCGTTCATTCTCTTCCTTAAGAGTGACATTCTGACAAAGCCTTTTGTTTAAACTTCGACTTAAAGCTTCTACTGTGGCGGACAATTTATAATTTTCTTCATACAAGTTGGCGATTTCTATTGAAGCTTTTATTTTTTCCTCCGATCGTTTTTTCGCTGAGTTTACTTTTAAAGCGTTCACTTCAGAAATTAAAGTGCTTATCTTTTGATCTTTCTATAATTCCAAAAGAAAATAGCAAATACTTATTTGAAAAGAATATTTATATTCAGTAATTTTTATTATTTCCTAAATGAACGAAAGTCAAATTTTTTAATGAAAATGAATTTAATAATTTAATTACTTAAATAAATAAACTAAAATTTTTACTGTTTATCGCTCATATGAACAAATTTCTTTAAATTAAAAAATAAATTTATGGAAAAAAGTAGAATATTCTATTTTTTTATAATTTAAACTTACATCCGATTTTTTAAGAACACCATTTTCCTTTTTATCCTTAAATTGATTGAAGCCATTATTCATAATAATTTATCTCAAAATGTAAAAAATTCTCGCAAAATGTCTTGTAATTGAAATAATAAAATATTTCCAAATCATCACCAGCGGATTTTTATTTTTATTTATATTTTCCATTTAATTTCTATAATTTATTTTTCATTTAAAACTTAATATTTGAAGGAATTTTCACTAAAATTTTTCATTTTTATAAAAATATTAACCTTTTTGTTTAAGGTTACCAAAAAATTGTTGAATGATAAATAAAATACAATTTCGAAACAATTGACGAATTATACAAATTCTAAAAATTAACTGAATTTTAGATTTCCCTAAAAGTTGAAATTCTCTGTATAAAAAGTTTCCTTTTTTTGTAAAAATGGGCGTAAGGCAAAAAGAGAAAAAAAGATTGGATAAATTGGCCAAAACCCTTCGACCAAAACCTAAATCACGTTTCCTTCCTGGACAGGTAATTTAAAAAAGAAAACTCTAAATATAACCTATCACTTTTTTCGGTAATTTATGCTCTCAGAAAAATGTTTTATTTAAACAAAAAATTATTTGTGTAAAATAGAAGTATTTTCGTTATTATATATAAATAAATAAAAATAAAATATTTTAATTCAACAGTAAAATTATTCAATCTTTAAAAAATAAATTAATAATTTAATTTCTTTCAATTAAATTTCTTTAATTTTAAATAAAAAAAAATCAGGTTCCTGATTACGTTGATAAAGATGATTTAAAACTATACACTGAGCATCGCGTGAACGTCACCTACGCTCTTCCCAAAATTGACAATAAACCACCAAAATTTCCACTCGATATTTATTACAATGAAAAAAAATTACAAGAAATTGCAAGGCGAGTTAAAAATTTAGACAACGAAAATATGACTCTCATGGAAAAATTAAATCAAATCCACCGTTCGAAAGTGATTTTACATCTTCATTTTCTAAATAATATTTTGAATTAGAAAAAAATGAAAATTTCTCCTAAATCTTTTCTTTTTTATTTGAATAATTTAGCCAAAGGTGGAATGTTGGAATGACTTGGTTCCAACGTACAAGGACAAAATTAAGGAAAGAATTGAAATTAACAAAGATATTCAATTTTTAAATAAAAAATTATTGTCAAAAATTGAAAATGCAACTTCTGATTATTCCAGAGAAAATCACATGACAGATTGGAAGAGGAATAAAGCAATTATAGAAAAATTTCAAAAGTAAAATTAATTCATGAAATTATTTTATTAATAATGAATTTTCCATTTATTTTTATGGATACCCATTTTTATAAATAATTCTTTACTCAACAATGTACGATTTCTTTCAGAAATTCTAATAAATTTTTTTCCCAAATAAAATCAAAATATTATTTACTGATTAATTAAAAGAAACCTATTTTTGCTACAGATATCCTACACCATTAGCTAATTTTCGATAAATGAAAAATTCCAAGAAAATAAATTTCTCAAGAAAATGAAGATCCGAATATTTAAATTAATTAGTCTAATTAATCAAACTAAACCGACAAACTCTGTAAAATTCGATATTATTCCTATAAAACCGATAAAACGAAATTAAAGAAGAAATTGTTTTTTCAAATTTCATTAAAAAGAAAATTTGTGCCTTATATAAAGGGGAAAAAATATTTTCAAATTCTCCCGGATTATAAACGGTGTCAAGGAGAAGAAGTATAAAAATTTAATGCAATTGGATATTTCGACATATATGGTGACAGTTTAAAAAATGAAAACTACAATTTTCATATATGTGCATGCAAATCATTAAAGTTTTTTTAGAAGTAAATGGAAAAAAATGTAATGTCACTGACAAAATGGAAAATTTCAATTGAAATTCTATTTCAAGTACCAATACACAGAAAAAAGTTTAATCAATAGATGATTAAATTTTATTTTACAAAACTGAAGGCCATGAAATAAAAATGTAAAAAATAATTTTCACTCGAGTTTTTCAATATAAAAATAAATGATACATAAAACGAAATAATTTTTTTTTTTTTATGAAATATAATAAACAGGGAATATTTAATTAATTTCTGTATTTCTGTAACTATTTTCCTTTCATTTCTGCCAGTAAAGTTATTAAATGCTTATAAAGGGAAAAAAATTACTCACCGATAACAGACGAGAACGAGCTTATAGAATTATATCTTTTGGTCCAATTCAACGCGCGAACGATTTTCTTGGCATCATCTTTCCTTTTCTTCAAAATTTGTTTATAGAACCACCTGCAAAAAAAGTTAAATTATTAAGATCAAATTACAAGTTTCTTTCAAAATGAAAAATATTGTGAAAAAATATTTTAATTTGAGTTTTCGAAATAAACATTGAAATAATAAATTAAAATAAGCGAAAGTAAGCAGAAATGAGCGTCGATATAACCTAACCTCTTTATTACTAATTGTACGCAAAAATAATTAATACTCTTTTATTGCCTATGATGTTTGCGTAAATAGACAATTTATTGTCGCATATTTGCAACATTATTTCAAGACTACACTTTTTTTAAATAAAAATTAATTAACTGTAGTTTTAAATATCAAAACGAGTTGTAAAATATTCCGAAAAACTACCGATCGCGCACTTATAAAAAGAAATCACTTGTTGAATAATTAGAAACCACTTGATTCTAAAATAAGAAAAAGGAGAAAAACAATCGATGACGATCGAACATAACCTCTTTATACAAGTGAATTATTAATACTTATTTTTTCACTTTAGTTTTTTTGGTTTTCTTTATCAAAATAACAGTAATTTTTGGCACTATTTTTTGCCTATTTACCGTTATTACTGGCGAAGTAATACACGATTCCTTTTATTGCTTCCCATTTGAAATATTACATTATTTTATACAGTCGCGTAGTTGCAGAGAAATAGCAATTTTTTTTTTAATTTTCATATTCTATTTGTATATTTATTGACAATAATATGTAAACAATGTGAAAATCACTGAAATATTCCACACAATTATTACCAACCTTCATCTGATTGATAAATTTGTTCAAAACTGTCGCACTGTCGTCTCCGCTTGGCAGCCGAGCATTCAACAAAATGGCCGCCAACACAGGAAAAAAACCAAAATAAAGGAACAACTGAACAATGAAATGTTTAAAAAAAAAGTGTCTCAAGGAACGCAAATGGAATTTGTGAACCAACTTCCGGTTGGTGTATCAATTCTTTGTCTCCTATATATTTTTGATTCAAAAAGAAACTTTACTTTTATCAAAAAGAAAAAATACTTGCAAATTTACAGATAAAATGGCCGCTAACACTGAGAAGATCGGCGGCCAACAAATAGTCCTACCAACAAAACAAAAAGAAATACGACTGGGACGAAATGTAGAAGAAAATATTTGTCGAGAATCGCAATTCACAAAAGAGCCTACAGTTTCTGTGAACAGACTTCCGGTTACAGAATAAAAAATGTAGCGTTACTAACCTTTTCTTGTTGCTAGCAGATTTTTCCAATATGGCGGCGTCATTGCTCCTACAGTCGGCAGCCATGTTTTCCTTCTAACAATGAAAATAAACAAAAAATTATTCACAAACTAAACCAAATACAAAAAAATCCATCACAATAATCGATACTTACTTATTAAAGCAACTTCCGGTTATATTACTACTTGAAGATATTTACTTTTTTATTTCTTCAACTCACTCCGCCGACTTTGGGAAGAACACTGACGACACTGTTGCGGCGCGCGCTGCTCTGGGCCTTATTCAGTCCTGATTGGCTGAATGCGTGAACCAATGAGAACACGCGAATAGGAGAAAACCAGGGTTGGGTAGTTGCGTCACTAAATACTTACGTAACTAGATTGTATTTTACGCTGTTTACGATCCATTACAAAAAAAAAAATATTCTATAAAAAATAAATAAAATAATTGACTAATTAGTATAAGAAAAAAATAAAATAATTTAGATAAAAATGGAAAAAATTAACCGCCAGCTAGTGGCCATATTGAAAACTGACGTCATACGTTTATCTCTATACGCAACTCAACCTTGGTGGATTTAAATTTTTTTCGTGTGACACAACACATTTGGTGCGATAAATTTAAATCTCCTCTTATCACTGTTTACCTAAAAATTAATATTTTCGAAATAACAAACATAGATTTTGATGAAACATTCATCGAAAATACGAAAATAATAAATATTCATTAAATAAATAATGTTGATCAAGAAACTTGTTCTTTTGAGGTTAGTTCTGTTATTTTCCATTGTTTACTTTTTTGTTTTACTGTAAATAATGACAAATAAATAATATTTATATTAATAGAAACAAAAATTCTCAAGCCTTTCAGATAAATGTCGAGGAATTATTCCAATAATTAGAAGTTGTTCAAATGTTGCACTCAAGGAAAGATTAACAGAAATTATTAATTTTAAAGACACTAACATTAGCAACTGGATTGTAGAGGTTTGTAAATTTGTAATTATTATATAAACATGTAATTTCTGTAAATTCTGAAGAATAATAAATATTAAAAAATTTCTTTTCTTTCTTTCAGGGAAAAATTAAATCGCTATGTTACACTTACAGTTTATTTTCAAAATCTGAGAAAAATGATTTTCTCAATTTTTTGGCTACTTCGTATGGTGTTGATCATACGTTAATTTGCAAAACAGCTGAAAAATTATCTTCGACTGATGTAATTTTTATTTTAGTAACACTAGAAAATTTTTGTTTTAAATTAGTTTCAATGATTTTTTATATTTTTATTTTTATTAAGTAAATAATAAATTTTATTTTAATTAAGTTTTCATAATTTATATTTATTTAAAATTTGTTGGCAAACATTAATAGTAAATTTAAAATTAAAAATTATGGCTATTTATCAAAATAATTAAATATTTATTTAAATGTCTGGAATTAATGTACTGTTTTAATTTAATTTTTATTTTTTACAAAAAATTGCAGCCAATTAATCAAAATCATCTAATTGCAAGGGAACGTTCATTGAGAAATTTATTAACACCTCCATATCATTGGCTGTTCATTAGAATGGGTAGATTAGAAAATGGTGTTAAATTTCTTGTCGATTTAAGAACAGACACTTTGGTAATTATTATTTTTCAAAGATTAACAAAAAAAAAAAATTATTAAATTCGAAATCTAAACTTGAATTTTTACAGCAATTAATTTCGGAGACAAGGGATTCTGACCAAATTACAATTTTACAAGAATTCGATTCAATACTACGAGATTTATTGCTACTTTGGTTTTCAGTTGGATTTCTACATTTACAAAGAATAACCTGGCAAAGTCCTTGTGATATTTTACAAAAGGTATTCGGAAAATATTTTTTTTTCTCCTATTACTAATAAAAAATTTTCACTCTTCTTTCATCAAAATATTTGAAAAACTAGATTTATAAATTTTATTAAAAAAGTTTTGAATTTTTCAAAGATTTCTGAGAATGAAGCTATACATCCAGTGAGAAATTGGCCAGATTTGAAAAGAAGAGTCGGACCATACAGAAGATGTTTTGTTTTCACTCATCCTTCAATGCCAAGAGAACCGCTAGTTGTTTTACACACAGCCTTATGTGACTTAATTCCAGGTGAAAGTTTAAACAAAAAAATAATTTTTTTCAAATGCATTTCAAAATTATAAATACAAAATTTCTATTTAAAAATCAACTCTCATTAACAGGTAGCGTGAAGGAAATAGAATTATCAGAAAAACGCATTTTAGGTAAAAATGAAATTTCTCATTCTTTTTTTCAAGAAGACAAAAATAAAATAAAAGCTGCAATATTTTATTCAATATTTTCTACGCAACGTGGACTACAGGTAAAAAAGTGCAGTAAAAATTTTTTTTTTAAAACAAGAAATAAACAGGATTTTTACTGATTTTTTTTTTTTCGAGTAAAAACGAAGCAATCCTTACAATACGAAATCTTTATTTGTTCTTCCTTTTTTTTTGACGATCTTTACAATATAACAGAGATATCGTTGCTAATTCATTGCTAGAACACTAGCTAATTATCGATCATTATCACAGGGTATAGAACTCGGTAACTACTTAATTAAAGAAGTTGCCAAACAAGTAACCAATGAGTTCCCGATGATCGATCAGTTGTCTAGTTTATCGCCAATACCAAATTTCCGATTATGGCTTCTCGAAAAAATAAAGCAAGGTAAATTTTTTTTATTTATTTTTTTTTTCTTAATAAATTATAAAAACTAAAATGAGAAAGAAAAATGAAGACAACGAAAATTTCATGATTTTGTACTTTACAGATCCTGCTAATATATTTACAACCAGTGAACAAGAAACACTAAAAAATATACTAAAATCTAATGACTTATTTTTGGATTTGAAAAAAATTTTCAATAATTCATTATGGACGAATAAACAAAATTTAGAAGTAGCCTTAAAATTACCACTGATGCGAGCCTGCGCTTGGTATTTATACAAAGAAAAGAGGCGAAACTATGCTTTAAATAACGTCGGTAAATGTTCAATGTTTTTTTTTACAAAGAAAAATTTTTTTAAATCTCAATTATATAAATTAATAATTCATTTTTTGTATTTTCTTTCTTTTTTTTCGTAGCAAATTTTCATCTACGTAACGGCGCGGTAATGTGGCGATTAAATTGGATGGCAGATCCCTCACCCCGAGGAACGGCAAATAGTTTTGGATTAATGGTGAATTATAGGTATGAAACTTATTCAACTGAGAGTATTTGCATACAAAAAATTGTATTGACACTTAACAATCACTGTATTAATCACAGGTATTTTCTCGAGGAAACAGAATCAAACAGTCGCAATTATATAGAAAACAAATTCATAAAAGCATCAAATAGTGTTATTAATCTAGCTCAGGATGCAGAGAAGCTACTTCTATAAGAAAGAAAATAATACTTTTCGAGACGAAGAAAAATTTAATTTAAAAAAAAAAAAAAATTATTTTAGAAAAAAAGAAACGAAAAAAAATTTTTTTATTAAAAATAAGGGGGGAGACAAAAAAGGAACTTTCGAAGACTCCGATCTCACCTACGATATGGAAAAGTAGATTGGCGTTCTTAGCAAGGACTTTTATTGATTACTTATTGAATTTTTTTCTTTTTATTAAAGATTATTAAATTTGTTCATTTATACAATTGCTGAATTGCTTCCAGCTTAGAGGCAGCACAACGGTCTGCAGGCAGATCTGAAAGTGATAATCTCCTTAATTCTTGTTCTTTTCTTTTAAATAAAAATTCTTTAAAATTCTATTTTAAGTAAAGCCGATTTTTAGTTTTCCTTTTAAATTTAATGTATTATTTAATTTATGAAATTAAATTCTTTTTTTAATTTTATATTTAAATTTATTTTATGGATTTTTAATTTTTTAAATTTAATTTAAATTTTTAATTTTTTAAATTTAATTTAAATTTCTAATTTTTTTAATTTAATTTAAATTTATAATTTAGTTTAATGCATCTTTTTAAAATCGAAAATTTTCGAACTTGTAAAGAATAATTCTATTTAAATTCAAACCGAAAATAGGTAATAGTTTAAAATTCTTGAATAAAATCTTTTTTGCTCTTTTTTTGTTCAAAATTTGCAAAGAATTGCTTCTTTAGAAACAATTTTGTAAATTTTTTTTACAAATTGAATGACAAATTTACTTTTTCTTATTTTTAATTAAAAAATTGCTTTTTTGAAAAAGGAAATTATAAAGTTTATACAAATGACTCACCTGTAGTCAAGGCTGAGCTTGATGGAACGTCGGAGGAAGATGAGGTCTACTTTCCAATTTCGAATAATCTAAATGGAACTCTTTAGCTACCTTCCTCCAGTTTTGTGCATCAAAATAATAATAAGTACCACGCTCGTACGTCGACGTTTTTTCGACTAGTCCTAGACCGGGTGCTTGTGTTATCCAAACTTTTTCCTCTGTGTGATACCGCCATTCCCTACTGTAACTAAAAATGCAAAAAATATTTCATTACATTAATATTATAAAATAGAAAAAAATAATTATTGTTAAATTTCTCGAAATTATAAATGAAATAATTACAAAATGTAAATTTTGTATTTTTTCCTAATTAAATTACTCTAATATTATTTTTATATGCAATTCAATTTTTATTGAATTAGGCAAAGTATAATTAAACTAAAGTTATCTATTGTAATTGGATTCAATTAATTAAATTAAATTGTATGATTTCAATTAGTAACAGAAACCAACAGAAATTTTGTTAAAATATACTGAGTACTTTTCATTTAATATTTAAATTTGCATTTTCATTGAAACCTTTTAAATTATTTATTACCTATCACTAATATTAATTTGCTTTATTAAAGAAAAATAAATATTTGAAACCGGAAATTAAAATCCTTGAACTAAAATTTTTCCTCCCGTTTTTTTGTTTATAATTTTAAGAATTGCATCTTTAGAAACAATTTTGTAAATTTTATAAAAATTTATACAAAATCAATAATTACAGTCAATATAATTATAGTAATTTTATATTTTAATTCAAATATAATTTTCGACTTTCATCGGTTGATTTTCAATTTTTGAAAATAAAGTAAATTTAAAACTTACAGTTCTGCTGCCGCAGCTAGTTGTAATACATCTCCAACATTCGTATAAAACATATAAAATAGGAGATCGTCTTTATATCGATTTAATTTAACAGGAGCCAGTTTATCCCTGAAAAAAACAATCAATTAAAGACCAAAATAAAATAATAGTTTAAAAAATCACAAGTCTAAGAAATAATCTAAAAATTAGAATCTAACGCTCTTCTAAATTATTAGAAGAACAGGGTGTCTACTATTTTCGTTCAACAAAATTTCCGGGTTTTTTCCTGGTTTTTTTTTCTCATCAAATTTAAATTTATTTGATTTCGAACATAAATAAATCTACAAATTAAAATTTTTGAAAATAATTCATTTTTTAGCGAAAAGTTTTGCTATTTATAAAGATAATTGAATTCTTTATTCGTTAAAATTTTTAAAAATAATTGAATTTCTGCAAAGAATTTTATTACTTTTGAAAATAATTGAATTGTTTTTTAGAATTTAATGGAAATTTATGAAAATAATTGAATTCTTGAGAAGAATTTTTTTACAGTGTCTAGAAATAATTGAATTCTTTCCACGAATTTTAATAATATTTTTTTAAATAATTACATTTTTCAAGGAATTTGATTAAAATTGTATTAAAAATAATTGAAATTCTGCAATGAGTTTTACTATTTATGAAAATAATTGAATATATTGCGAAGAAATTTTAAAAAATAAAAATTATAATTACGATGACAAACTTCCCTTGATTATTTTCGAAAAATTTAAATAAAATTTTTGAAATGAATTTAATTATTTTTGATAGAATGTAAAGAAATTTTAATTATTTCAAAAATTTTCAATTATTTGTTTATAAAAATTCAATTATCTTGAAACAATAGAATTGAAAAATTTCAAGAATCTTATTTTTCAGAATTTTCAAAAAAGCTTTGTGAAAATTCAATTTTATTAAAAAATTTTAAGTGTGTATCTTTTTTTAAATTAACTAATAAAAATTTTAATTATTAATCTTCGCACAAAGAAACACGAATACATTAGAATGAGACTCTTTATAAAATTAAATTATTTATCAATTATTAAATTAAAATACTTTGAAAATTCTATTTGTTAAAAAGTTTTTAATGAAATTCTTTAACAAATTTAATTATTTTCAGTTGAATTCTACAAAATTTCTATTAATTCGATAATTTTTTTAAATTTATTTACTAATTATATTTGAATCAGTGAATGATTTTTTACTATCAAATTAATTATTCTTAACTAATTCCTGGTTTATTCCCAGTCAAATTAAATTCCCGGCTATTTCCCGGTTAGTAGACACCCTGAAGAAATTATATATTTATAGAAATTCCGAAATATTAAATGGAAAAAAATTTTTAAATTACCTGATCGAAGCGTTTATGAGATACTCTGGTGGAACGTGAAAGTCAATGTCTTGTGGCCGACAAGATGTTTCTGCCCAAGGACCTCCAAAATTCTGATAAAGATTTTCCGGCGAATTAAGATTAAGTCCTAATGCAGTGAGATCTTGCCCTAACGCCAAAGATACAAGATTTGGATCTGTTTCTGATGCTCTAATAAACGTTAAGAGTCCCACCATTCCAAATTGATCTTTGACCATACTGGATGGTATATTTGTTACTTTACCTAGAACAAGCAAAAAATTTATTATCGTCAAATTAATTTCCTCATTAAAAATGAATTTGCAATTTTATCTCAAGATTATAATGTCAATGAAATAATTCAAAATTAATACACTTATCAGAAATGAGAAAAATCATTATTCAACAATTAAAATTTGTAAAAAAAAAATTAATTTACATTTCCTGCTATTAATTTTCCTTGAAATTTCATTATTTGTTACATTTTCTTTATTTTTCACCAGAAGAGAAATTCTTTACCTTTCGTTATATTCTACTGTTTTATTCATTATATTTCCTTTTTTTCCTTCTTTCTTTTTTTATTTAAATAAATTAGTTTTAATAAAACATTTCTCACCGTCAGGAGACGTTTGAATTCCTCTTTTAGATGCTTGCAATTTTTCCGAGCCTGGAGCCCTGTTGACTTGTAGAATGTCTTGACTAATTTCTGGACCAAGACCAACGGACATTCCTTTATCACCTGACACGCCACCACCGGGGGACGGTCCTTCCCTACTTTGAGTTCCCGGCAGAGCTGGAAAATCTTCCGAGCTCATCGTAAATTCACTCGGCTCAGACGTTGGTTGTTTCACCATACCGACTAAAATATTAAGAATTATTCATAGTGGAATTGTCGATATCGCATTACCGAGCTGAATAATAAATGTATCTTTAGATAAGAAGGACAAGCTTGCACCATTTCACATTCACTTATAATTGTTCAAAAAAAAAAAATAAGAAAAAAAGAAAAACACGAACTACACAAAGGGAAACAAAAAAAGGAGACTAAAAAAATATACGCATGCATTCAAAATAAAATAACAAAAAATAAACAAATTCGGGGTCAATACAAAGGATTAATTACACTTATTACTCAAGGACTGAATAGTAAAAATTAAAAGGAAACATCCTACGTATCCAATATTGGATATAAATGATAATCTAATCTTTATGAATAAAAATCTAATCTGTAAATAATAATCTATTCTATATAAATAATAATCTACTCTATGTAAATAATAATCTACTCTATATAAATAATAATCTCTATATAAATAATAATCTACTCTATATAAATAATAATCTCATCTATATAAATAATTATTAATATAGTAAATTGATATATGAAAAATACATAAAAAAATGTGAGTAAAAATATTTCCAGATACTAAATTTAGAAAATATGTATAAAAATGTATAAAATTTATAATGTATAAAATACGTTTAAGAACCTAAAAGCATCACGTGTAAAATATATCGTACGTAAAAGAAAACATCTGCATAAATAAAAAAATAAAAGATACGAGTGTTTTTCTTTCGTTTGCCATATCGATTCGTAACAAAATAAAAAATAAATTGTTTTTGTCGCGACCAAAAAGATTTACTCGGTGCTAGGAATCACGTGGGACTAACCATAAGGTTGCTTCCCTGGCATGGGACTAGGTTGAGGCATAGAATCACCCTGACCTCGATTGGTCAATGAGGGGAATTCTGAAAGGTCCAAAAGTGGCGGTGTACTGGTATCGCCGCCACCCCCGCTGCCAAATACCGAATGAAAATTGTTGATCGCTCCTTGAGATCCGTAATTGCGGCTTGGAGGTATTCCAAAACTGGCCATACTACCCATTGGATTAGAATTTCTGGAAAAATACAAACAAAACATTATCAATCTCGGCTAATTTCAATTTTACTAATTTCTCCTCACAATTCTTTTTCATTATACATTCAATCAAATTTTTATCAAATTCGCATCTAATTTTAGTGAATTTGAATCTAATTTTTATCAAATTCGAATCTAATTTTACCAATTTCGAATCGAATATTTAGACGAATCAAAATTCGTTTCGAAGAAAAAAAAATTGAGAAAGAGATTGTGGAAAGAAATTTGATTTGATTTTTGGTTTTTTTTTTTTGAGAACTGACCCAAGAGCTGGCATTGTACGCCTATCAGTGAAAGCCCTTTGACTAAAGAGTCCCCTACTTCCCATAGGCGAAAGTTGCTGTTGAGACTGATGCCCAGCAGGTTGAACGCCTCCTGAACCAGTTGCTCCAGGATAAACGTTGGGACCAATAACCGAGATGTTCGCTGTACTCGAGGAGCTTGCTGATGAGCCTGAGAACATTCCCGAGGTAGGTGTGACATGACCCGTGAGGGTCGTCGAGCTTAAGCCCCCCCCACCACCCCCACGTGTAGCTAGACTTGCGTTTGCGATACTCCGAGGTGGTTGCTCAAAGTTCAGGTTGGCCATAGCCTGGTGGCTCCACTATAAAGTACCTGCTGGGACAATTAAATTACACCTGTCGTTTATAATTAAAATAAATCCATTAAAATAATTCTCATTCACCATTTTCAAAACAAGAAACAATTCCTTCCTCTATCAGGAAAGAAAAATTCCTTCTCTCAACATCTTCCTTTAGCAAAAATCTACTCCACAAAAGAATATATTCGATTCAATGAAAATGGACACGCCATTTTTATTGAAATTCACAACAATATCTTCCAATTCTGTCAATATCCTTTAATCTCATTACAAGTTTTTGTTTACATACACAGAATTTTCACAAAATTTTTCCGATCATTCAAATTAAAAATTTACAAATATCTCTGTAAAATAAAGCGATTTTCCAAAAAAAATTATTTCTAAAAAAATCGTCAATTACCTTATGAACAAGTGGTAAATTATAACCAATAAGATTGCCACACAGTTTAAAATATATATCTTAAATAAACACTGGAGTTTGATACATATCAATGATCTCGTGTAATAATAAATATGTTGCTACGCAGATATATAATCTTAAAAAAGAAATAGTTAAACAAAAAACACTTTTGAAAAATAGTGAATAATTTTTCAAGAAACATAAATAAAAAACATACAAATACGACAAGTACCAATAATTAACATTACTCCAAAGACATTAAATATCTAATTTTTTTGTTAATTTATCAAAATATCATTTACCATAAACTGTCATGGGATTGAGGTTGTGTTGGGTTATGAGATTTCTCTCTTTGAAGCAAAATTTTACAAATTTTTTGATAAAAACAAAAACATAAAGGACTATTGCATTTTTGTTAATACTAATCAAATAGAGAAGATTTTCCATTAAAAAAACATGCATTTAAAAACCACCACGCTTCTTTTTTTTGACATAAAGCTTCCCTGGCTTCTATTTGCTTGTGGGGGGGAAAAATTAACGTTATACTTTTCGATTCTTTCATTAATTAAGGAATATGCGTAACAGGCATAAGGTTTTAAAAAGAAATATCCCAAGTTTAGGTCACAAAAACAAGTAAATCTTGAAAACAAAATAAACCCGTAGACGATGATATTAACATTTACCCAGGCCACGGTCAAGTGACAGGCATAAGGAAACAAAGGTTATAGTGCAAGCATTTTGGGAACCCGTGATTTTCAAGATACCAAAACACTGTTACCTATTTTATCTGTACAAACTGCAAATCACTGTGTATAGAATTCAATCGAATTCATGATAAACTTTTTGATTATGAACGAATTATTGCAAAGCGATGCGTTTTGTTTTGGACAATCACTTTTTCCAACACTTGAGTCCTTTGCAACTAGCAACTAGAACAACTATATATTGCACGAGGGGAGGGGGTCATATCCCTAGATTTAGAGGTTATGTTAACAAAATCTTAAACTTTTAGAGTGAAAATTTTATGTTAATTGTATTATATCAATGAATTTATAACTCTACATCTTTTGAGAATAATTATTTCTACACTTGTTTATAAATTGGGCCACTCAATAAATGGTAAACACAAAAACTAATGTATTCAAAGATTGCTGAATTTGACAGTTGATCGATTCGACTTATTATCAATCAAACATGACAATTTCTACATTACCGATCATGTACAACTGTATTCAATTTATCAATTGAGAAAATGTTTATAACCTCAAATCTTAGGAAATAAAATTTTATTCCTACACTCAGATGTTCGTTAAATCACTTCTATTTAATTGAACCATTTATTGACGATTCTTGAAATATTTTGAATATTTTGTAAATATTTATGTACGTTTATTGACTAGTGTTAATTTTTGGGCGAGAGATGCGTGCGCATCAATCATATGACCGTCATTAGACTTACAGAAAATTGGTTGTGCTCCTTAGGCGTTGACGGTAATTCTCTCAATAATTTTGTAATTCCGGAAAATTTGTGGTTTCTGTGGATAATCTTTAATTATAACATCTTTAAAACAAGCTATTCATCATGGCTCTCAGCGATGCAGATGTTCAAAAACAGGTAAATTACAGTTCTATTTCTTAAAACGACGTTTTTGTCTTTTCTTATTAAAACAATAATCTATAGATTTATTATTTCTTAAAATAAAGTAGAAATTAGTCATCTAAATTTCCCATACCTTCAAATTTAGTATTTTATAATTTTGTATTTTATTTATTTTAATATTTTCGTTATGATAATTTTAAACGAATTTTAATCAATAACTTAGTTCTAACTGCAGTTTTCAATTACTATTATTATCATCACATTCCTTATAATCAATGATTGATAATTGTCTAAATTCGGATTTTATTACTTCTGGTCTTAATTTTGTAAACGAATTATTTATTTACTTAATTTTTAGCTAAAACTTTCGATAGAAAAAGGAAACTAATTTCGAATAGGAAATGAATGAACTGTCACATGATGTCAGTATGCTTGAAATGTAAATGAGAGGATTAATTTTTTTCTCGTAATTTTGTTAAATTTTCAATTATCTTCTTTTTAATTACGAATTAATCGTTTCATTCACTTCATTTTATTTTATTTTAGTTTAAAATCGAATAAAATAGGAACTGTTTGTTGAAATTTTCTCTTTTTTCAACCATTTTTTTCAGTTTTGATCGTTTTGATTTTAGAAAAATTAATTTTATGAATTTAGAGATGTTCTGATTTTTTTAATAATGGGAATAATATTTGAATTTTGAATTTAGATAAAGCATATGATGGCTTTTATCGAACAAGAGGCGAACGAGAAAGCAGAAGAAATCGATGCCAAAGCTGAAGAAGAATTCAATATTGAAAAGGGTCGTTTAGTCCAGCAGCAACGACTTAAAATTATGGAATATTATGAAAAGAAGGAAAAACAAGTTGAATTGCAAAAGAAGATGTGAGTATTTTAATTTAATAAAACTTTCTCTCGCTAAGAAAAAAAAATGCTACGTCTGTTAATTAAAATTAGATTTAAAAGCAATTTTTTTTTTCTATTTGAAATTCAGAGACAAAATTTAAATGATTAATTTTTTGTTTCAGTCAATCTTCAAATATGTTGAATCAAGCAAGGCTAAAGGTTCTCAAAGTTCGCGAAGATCATGTAAGAAATGTTCTTGATGAAGCTAGAAAAAGATTAGGAGAAATTACCTCTAATCCATCTCGATATGGTGATATTTTGAAGCTCCTCATTATTCAAGGACTTTATCAAGTATGTTCTACTTTTTATTAGCAATTTTTTATACTCAATTAATATGCTTATTATTTTTCTTAGTAATTTTTTTAGTAAATTTTATTTACTTAGTATTTTTTAGTAAATTTTATTCATTTAGTATTTTTAATGAATTTAAAATTTTCTAGCTCATGGAACCAAATGTTACAATTCGTGTACGCCAAATGGATCAACCACTCGTCGAATCATTATTTAGTGATATTCAAAACACCTATAAAAATTCCTTTAAAAAGGATATTGCTCTTAAAGTAGATCCTGACAATTCTCTTCCTGCCGAAAGTTGCGGAGGAGTTGAGCTCATTGCTCATAAAGGTAAACAAAAAAAAGTAAAATTTAAAGTCAAATATTATTGAATTTAATCCGTGATTTATAAAACATTTTTCTCTTTTTCCAGGACGCATAAAGATTTGCAACACTCTCGAATCAAGATTAGAATTGATTGCTCAGCAATTGATATCCGAGATTCGTTGCGCTCTCTTTGGAAGCAATCAAAACCGTAAATTCACCGATTAAACGCAACAAATTAACATCAATTTTCAACATTCCCTGCTCTAAAAAAAATAGTAGTTTAAATTATTATTTGTCGCAGAATAAAAGCAGAATCGAAAATTATATTATATCCCGTAAAATTGATATTCAATTTTTATTTTCAATCTAATTGCCAAGTAGTGAAAGAATTGATTTTTTATTACGGGAATAGGTGTACATGAAATTAAAATTAAAATACAACTCTTTATAATTTTTTCGCTCCTTAAAGTTGTAAACATGCTTTAATTAAGCAAAAACACAAATATTGTGAAAGTATACTATTATTATTGTGAATTATTTTAATGAGATTTTATGGATTGTTAAAAATTTCAACTTACCTCAAGAACTTAATCTTATTATATATATTAAAGAAAAAAAGAGAAATATACATGTCTTGCTCGTTTTCAAACGTTGAATATTGTTCGTTGTGATTACAAAAGAAGAGTATTTGTCTAGTATTTTAGAAATCATTGCCTCTTTGACAACTGATTTGCTTATTTGTACAAAATCACAATTCAAATTCAAATTTCAAGGGAAATTCCCTTGAAATTATTAACACACTTAACACGTCCTTGTTGAGAAAAAAAAATGCAATTAACAAAATTATTGTACATACGCATATGTAATATACTTAAAATTATCTAAACTCGTTCTGATTGACTAAACAAATAAAAAGAAAAGTGTGTAAAATAAACTGTAAAAAAAAAGATTAAAAGTCCGTTACCTTTTAATCTTTTGAGATTAATTTTAAAGGTTCAACTAAATTATGGCACATTAGTAATAAAATAGAAGTAAAGTGGAATATTTTCTTTTTAACATCTATATTTTTAAGTAACAATAGACAAGGCAGTGAATTGTAGACCGCCTATTAAAGTCATTTAACAACATTTTTGATTTTCTTTGACATACATTTGCATCTGACATTCACATATAATATATATAATAACATTTTTACGATTTTCATAATAGCACACGTCGAGTTTTACAATAAAATGTACAATCTCTCTTAATTACAAAAACCATAAACAATGGTTCTTTTTAGGCAGAAGCAGAGAAGCCAAAAAAATTAGCCAAATTCCAATAATTGGAACTTTTGCCAAAAATTCTAATCAATTCAAATTAAATAATTTTTTACACCTAAAATTTGTTTAAACTAAATTTTGAATGAATTATCAAAATTAACATTAATTTAATCCTATAAATATAAAATTTCCAATTTCAGAAGAATTGATTTATGATATTTTTTTCTATTTTACAATTTTTGTCACTATTTTTTTTACTAGATCTTGAGTTAAATTTTTTGATTTCAAGAATTTGTTCTTGCGATATGGCATTATAGATGATATGAAAATCAGTAAATATAAACTAGATTCAAGAAGATATAGAAATCTGAATAAAAATTACTAAAAACTGGCTCTAAAGCGCCATAAGTATTAAATTGTTCCTCGGTAAAAATAAATACTTTTCATATTACAACTTTCATAATTTATACAAAGCTTCTTTTTCATCGGATGGAGACAATAGAAATTTACTTTCAGAGATCGAGCAATGATCTTAATTGACCATCTTTTACGATTCTTTTCTAATGGCTTCAGGAAATTGAAAAAAAAGAAAAAACCAAAGAAATACAGTGATATTTTCCCCTTTTTTTCCTTTGGAAATAATTAAATTTTTTATTTTCAAATTAAAAAAGGGAAAAATATTAACATGGAAGATCAATAAAATTATTTAAAAAATAATAACAGAAAATTTCTTAATTTGTAAGTTAGTAAATAGTTTTTTGAATTAAACTATAGAAATACGTTGTATTAAATAGTTCCGAATATCCAAAGAATTTCTCAATATCGAAGAATTTGATTTTACTTGAAAAGAATTTTTAAACAAATTCTTTTTAAATAAAGTTAAATGAATTTTAATAAATTAAAAAAAATACTAAAATAAATTACATATCCTGAAGCCATAATTATTGAATGCGCAGAAATTATGAAATGGCTGGTAGATAATATTTTTCTAAATACTTGGTAGTTATTGTCGTTTTCTTAGCAAATTGTGTTCTTTAGTAATTCGTCTATAAGGTGGAAAAATTTTACTTGAGACCCATTAATTGTTCGGCCACTCCGAGGTAATAGACAGTTTGTGCTATTCCGAATAATGGTGCGATGACTATCATTCTGCAGGCACCGCCTTTGAAGAACGCTGTTGGTCCTTCGTTCTTCAAAGTTTTACTAAAACAAAAATAAATTTATAATTTTATTGCAGAATTAGAAATTAGACAATATTTCTAATTTTCTTTCATTTAATTTTAAGTTTAAAAAAAATTAAGTAGAACTTCTAAATTAGATTCGAAATTGAAATTAAGCTTTATTTTAATTAAATAAAATTAAGTCTCGATTTAGTTAAATAGAATTAAGTCTCAATTTAGTTAAATAAAATTAAGTCTTGATTTAGTTAAATAAAATTAAGTCTTGATTTAGTTAAATAAAAGTAAGTCTTAATTTAATCAAATAAAAATTAAATTACCCGATGCAGTCCATGACACCATTGTAAGTGGGTTCACCAGGAGCTTTATTTATCGCCTGAAGTCTAGTTTTTATAACGTCAAAGGGATTAACAGCTAATGCTGCTGTAGAACCAGCAGCACATCCTGAGAGGAATGAACACCAAAATACAGCTGTAAATATATTAACAAAAAATTATGAGAGAAGCTTCGTAATAAATTGGTAATTAATAATTAAATTAACTAAGTAATTAATAAATTGACTAACTAATAATTAAATTGACTAACTAATTAATAAATTGACTAACTAATTAATAAATTGACTAACTAATTAATAAATTGACAAAATGATGACTAAATTAACTAATAAATAAACTAATATTGATTTCTAAAATTCAACTCACAAGACCCATCCTCCCGTTTTGGTCCAAGAGCATTAAGATTCGCAAAAAGTGGAAAATATATAACAGAAAATGTAACATCTCTAAGTGCAGTTGCTCCCGTTCCTTGATAAAGTCCTAAAATTCCTCTCTTTTTCAATAAACTTTTCGTCAACGACCACGCTGATATCTTTGGTACTTCCTTTCCAGCTGAAAAAACAAAATATTTTGGTTAAACATTGTTTTTCCTTGTTCGTTAACTTTCCCCTAGAAACAAAAATTTTTTACGTTTAAAAAATATAAGAACTTGTAGAATGTTTAAAAACAGCTAGTTTCTTTTTCTTTTACTTCAATATTTTTTCGTTATAATTTCTCTACTTTTGTCTATTCAGCAATCTTGTTAATTCTTTTTTGTTTGAATTCGATTTACTACCTTTCGGAAATTTTTTCCCTTTTCTTTGGAAATTTGGAAGAATTCTTTCTATTTTGATGAATTTTTTATTGCAACAATTATTTGAAATATAATAACTAATAGCTAAGAAATATAATAAATAACAGCTAAGAAATATAATAAATAACATCTAAGAAATATAATGAATAATAGCTAAGAAATATAATAAACTAATAAATATAGTAACTTGAAAGAAAATAATATTTAAAAAATATAATTTCTTCTATAACGTATCTGATGAAATATGTCAAGGTCAATATTACTTTATCTTTTATACTCGCAGTTGTATCGTATCAAGAATTCTGAATGTTTTGCCAAAAATTTGTCAATCAGAAAATACATAAATCAAATTTTATGTTCGAGCACATACGTCCAATGTTCTTTTTTTGTTCTCTATTTTTTTTTACTTTTCTTATCTATAACATAGAACGCAATTAAAGTAACTGTTATTAAAAATACAGTAGAACCTTGATAAACTAAAAGTTTTACAACACTTTTAACTTTTAAATTATTTTCCTTGAAAATATTATGCTTATCACCACTAAAATGGCAATTAAGTTTATCTAGACTCTACTGTAATGGTAATTAGATTTATCAAGACTCTACTGATTATTAAAACTCTACTGATCATTAAATACAGTAGAAATTAAATTAAAAAAGAATTTTAGTTTGTAAATTTTCCATGATAGACGATTAAAGAAAAATTTATGAAAAATGAATAAAATATATTTATAAAAAAATAACAACTATAATTATAGTAATGATATTTATAATTATTATAACAATTATAATTATACTAATAATATTTATAATTATTATAATAATTCTTGTTATAATTATTATAATAATTCTTGTTATAATTATTGTAGTAATTCTTGTAATAATTATAAATACTGTTAATTTTCGAAATACTTGGAAAATAGAAGTAATTAAAATTTAATGTACCGCTTTTTGCAGCAGCTGCAACTCTGCCTGCGTCTTGCATTTGAATTTTAAGTAATTCCATTGGCGTTGTAATGACAATTTGACATGCTCCTGCGGAACCTCCGGCAATCATTTCACGTATTAGGGGAAGAGGTTGCCTAATTCAACAAGCAATAATAATTTTAATGGTACAGCTAATTAAGAAACTATATTAATATTCATTTTACTAATTAATTCTTTAATATATTTTATTGATTAACTTTGTAACTGTTTTAGTAATTAACTTTGTAACTACTTTATTGATTAACTTTGTAACTATTTTATTAATTAATTTAGTAACTATTTTATTATTTAATAAAATATATTAAAGAATTATATTCGTAATATTAATAATATTAATTTATATTTATAATATTTATATTAATTTATATTCTTGAATAAATAAATAATTATATTGATAATAAATGGAAAATATAAGTACCCTGGTGCAGGAGTTAAATAGTGTCGAAACATATCATTAGCTGCAAGTTTAATAGCTTTTTCCGGAGTAATTAAAAGAATATTTACTGCTGAGCCTTTGTACATTCCAAAATAACCTTCTGCTCGATACGTTTTTCTGAAGCAGTCCAACCTGTTGAAAATTATAAAATTTTTATTTATTTATTTACACCTTAATAATTCTAAGTAATAAATAAAAATTAGAAATTAGATTTTATAAAAAATCTAATCTATTTATAATTTATATTTAATATTTATCTATTTATAATTTAATTAATTAAAATATAAAAAATGAAAATTACATTTTATAAATTAATTAAAATATAAAAATTAAAAATTAAAATAAATAAAAACTGTAAAATAATAATTTTTTCATCTCACAGACAAAATAATTATTGCCTAAAAACAAAATAACAAAAAGACCAAACAAATAATAATAAAAATAAATAATAAAATAAAATAAATAAATATAAAATAAATACAATAAAAAATAAAAATATTACTATAAATAAAATATAAATTAGAATTTATAAATATTTTCTTTAATAATTCCTAAAAAAAATTGATCTCCAATTATTATCCACGTGTAAAATTAAAAATCTTAAAGAAATAAAAATAGCAATTTACATCGAGGAATACATCCTTTCTCCTTTTGGTCCAATAACTTGATTTTGCAATCGCGTCTTAACCAAATCCAATGGAAAAACCACGGACACTCCAATAATTCCAGCAATTCCGCCATTGACGATTTTTGGAATGAGTCTAAAATCAATTTCTATTAATAAAATGGAAAATAATAATTTTTTAATCTCACAGAAAAAATAATTAATTGCCTAAAATCAAATTTGTGTTTTTTCAATTTACTATTTTTTTCTATTTATTATTTTCTACTAGGTATTTTATTTACATTCTACTATTTTACTACTACATTTCTACCAAATACAGCAAAACTACTTTAGCCACATGCTCTTAAAAGCACTTTATTGATTGAATAAAAGCCCAGGTGAAAGAGAAAAAAAAATTGTGAAATTTTATCAACTAAAAGCATATTAAATATACACATACATGCATTCTACATACATAATACAACCGATATCTATACCTAAAATACATATATAAATTTATCAATAATTTAAAAGACAATTTTCTTTTCTAATAAATAATTAATTTTCATCGATATTGTACTTTCCAATAAAATTTTCTGTTTAAGTTTGAAAATAAATGGTGATTGGAGAAATAAATTATTAAACTTAATAGAAACCGATAAAATTAATAATTAATGAATAATTATTAATTTAATTTTTAATTAATTTATTTTATTCCAAATCAAGTTTAATAATTAATAATTAATTTATTTATTTATTTTATTCAGAATCAAATTCAATACCTTAATAATTAATTAACTTCCCTAAGAAATAAAAGCAGTAATAAATAAAATTGTCGAGAAAATTTTTTCATGAAAAATTATTTGAAGAAAGCATTTTGAATAATTAATTTCATTACCAAAAGACGTTCACGAAGAATACTAGAATGCAGGGGGTTAAAAGTGTTAATAACGAAAGGCATCACGTCATTTATCATTTTTTTTTCAATTTTTTTTTTTTTTTGATAAAAATTATTGACTATTAAAAAATCTAACATGGAAGGTAGTGTTGATTTCTATTTAAAAAAAAAGAATTAATAGTGATTTTCAAATTGTTTATACTTTTAAATTGGTGCTGTTGAGAGTGGAAGATTTCTGCGCACAAAAGAATTTTTTTTATAGAAGACTCACATTTTTCTTTTCTTTTCTTTTTTGATCCAAGTTTGGTTCGATGCAAATAATCATATTGGGACAAATCCGTCAGCGAGAGATTGAAGAAGATTTCTTCGCCTTATCTGGTGGAGGACTCTTCGGTTTATTTAAGAATTTTTTTTTTCTAATTTTCTGATAGAAGAAGTAAGACGACACCATTTCGCTGCTTTAAAATATTATCAGAGTATAATGAGATTAATTTATTCTAATTTATCTACTTTTTTTGCGACTTATTAACGTTCGGCATTCGATAATACACCATTACAAAAATATTTTCAAAATATCGGTGCAAAAAAGTAAAAATTTTTTGAGAAACACCAGGAATTTTTTAAAAAATTCAATTCTAGATTTTGAAACATGGAAGAAGGGTGAATATAATTTTTCATGTTTTTTTTGGTCAAAAATAATTACAAAAGAAAAGAATGGAATTAAAAGAAGTTTAAAAAAAATTTTAACACCTACTTATTAAAATGTTAATTTAAATACTGAATGCAAAAACTATAGATGCAAAAAAATAATTAATCATTCCAAGGAAATTAAATTTTGTAAAATAATTATCATGCTTGGATAAAATTTTATGTTAAGCTTTAAAAATAATTTTTTTTAAATAAGTAGAAGAGAGTTACAAATATCACGTCAATTTATACAATTATTATAAATAATAATTTATTTATAAAAAATAATAATAATAAATATGAAAATTCAGTAAATAAAAAAACACTAATTGTAGATTATAACAATGTGAAAAATTGAAATGTTTTGTCACTTCTCTTCTACAAGCAAATAATGATTCAGTTATCATGCAAAACGTCTATTAGTCTTGATTAAGTTAAATGGTCATTGTATCTGGAGACATTCAGTTCACACGTGACTTTATGCACTATAATAAAATGTATTTATAAAAATATGAAAAAAAATTCTAAAGAAAAATATATTAAGTTATAAATATTTTCATAATAATACAAAAAGAAATTTGAAAAAAGGTTTCCCTTGATTCATTGGCACAATAAAGATCAGTTTATTTTTGATACGACTTCTCGAGTTTTGAATAAAAGATATTTTTAAATACATTGCAGAACACATATATGTATATTTTACAGATGCTTCATATTTTAATAACATTTAAGTGTCAAAGCTTGCAGAAAACATATTTGATTTTTGATAAAATATGTTAGATATTAGTTTAAACAAATAGAAATTTAATTACTAAATTAAACGTAATCTATAGAATAAGAACAAAAGTAGGAAAAAAATGTTTAATTTCGAAATAGTACTTTTAATCTTAATCAAGTATTTTTTTGTTATAAATAATATTCAGTACAAAAATGTTTTATTATTTATAATTTTCTACTCACTTAAATTTTGGTTGTTCGTTGTTCAAGGACATCTTTCCTTTTTAAATCTGTCAAAAATATTCCTTATTTAGATTTTTTTCACATCACTTTCTTTCTTTTATGTTAATTATTTAAAAGTGAATAAATTACCATTTAATTATAAATAACAAGTCATTTGATTTTTTATCAACAAACGTTTCATTGAGTATAATTACCTACTTTTCTAAATTAACTGCTAAATTTAATGTAAATCATTTTAAAATCATTTTAAAAACATTTCAATGAACGTAGAAAAAACACAATTATTATAAAGAATATTTATTATTTCAATTTCCCACAATTAAAATAGAAAATAAAAAAAAGAATTTGACATTTACAAATTGTAGGTTATGTTTAGTAAATAGTCTTGAAAAAAATATAATAAAATATACAAGTGCTTCAAAAAAAGTAAATTAAAATTTTTCGTAATAAATTTGAAAGAAATTTTATAAAATTTAAACTTACATTTTAAATATGACCTAATTTTTTAAATAGATTTGACTTTTCTTCTTGCCTTCTTCCACCTTCAACCATCAACTGACATAAAGTTGCAGTGTTGCCAGATTTATCCAAACTCACGTGCGTTGTTCCTGTCATTCTAAAAAAAAAAAAATGTCACGTGACTTAAAATCTATTTTTTTAAAAAACAGTATTCTAAAAGTATTTTTTTGTTTTACTAAAAAAATATAAATAAATAATACATTTTATATTAAATTTCAAATTAATTAGTTATTTAGTTTGCAGGAAATTTGCACAATTTACGTAATTATGATTTTATGAATATTCGATTTTAAATAGCCAATCGATATATCGATTCGCTCAGGGTTGGGTAGTTAGTTGTCCACCTAGCGGAGAAAGTGCGAAGCGTTTCTTTTTGGCGCTCAGTTGTGAGTTTCCTGTCGCTGGCAGACGGTTATTATTTATTATTGTCAAAAAAAGTAACGAAAAGTAATTGTTTATTTCGTTTAATTGTTTATTTAACATTGAATGAGCAGAATTTACGTGTTGTGAATTGTAAATAAGTGAATAGTGTCGGGAGTGTGTTGCAATTATTAGTTTGCATAAATATCGACAATCTCGCAGAAATATTCTCAAAATGTGTCTATTCGGGAGAATTTTCACATTTGTTCGTGTTAAAAGTGTGGATTTTCATTGGGAAGGAATAAATTCAAGTTATCAAAAATTGTGTGGTGTATTAATTAAATATTGTTTTGTTTGTGATCAACTTCGTGTCCCTAGTTCAAATAGTTGCTGGTATTTAACCTGGAAGAAAAGAAAGAAGAAAGGAGGCGATTTTCCGATTTTTAGCAACCACGAAGATGTTGACATTATTTCGACTTGAAAATCAGCGATCGGTGAGTCTTTTATTTCAATTTAAACTTTAAATTAAGTGTTTTGACTATTTATGAAAGAATTGATTAGAATCCCATTGATTTGCCATAAATGAAAAATGTTTCTCTCCAGAAATATTTTGACGAACTATTTTCTTTTTTCACTATTGAAATATTTTAGTAGTGCATCGAAAGTTTTTTTTCTGATTGTAAGACAATATGATAATTCAAAAAATGACTCACAAGTTAGAAAGAAGGAAAATATTTATTCATTTACAATTATTCGAAATATCTTAATTACTTTTCAATTCGCATCTCTTTATTCCGATCTATCCATATCTTTCAATGTACTCATAAATATAAACGGAGGACCGAGTAGAAAAAATGTCATAATTCCCAGGGATACGTACATTTTCTGCAAAAACAATGAAAATAAAAATAATTCTCAAAATTACTAGTAATTTTAAGCAGCTGCTTTAAAATAATCCTTTTTTCAAAATAATATATCTATAATAAAATATCTTACTTTTACGATAAAACAAAATTTTTAAATTAATTTACCTGCTTGGTCACACGATTAAAAGGCTTTGTAGAAATTGGACTTTCCTTTGCCAAATAAGAACGCTTCTGAACGTGAAAACAATTTGTAATTAAATTTCGCTCAAATATTTTCCAATACTTCGCATTAAAAGTTCCCAGAGTTTTATTCATTTTATACAATGTTTTATCAATACTTTTTTGCCAATGAACTTTGGTTCGCTTTTTGTAAAACAAATTTCAATAGTAACCAAAAAAAAAAACGTACAATTTTTTTCTCGATGCACATTCACTTTTTTTGCTTCTGTAATCATTTGTTTTTTTTCATTATTTAAATTCAAATTACACTGGGTTACAAAAAAATGGTCATGTCGTGTTTATTTAAAATTTACTGTGTTTATTGAAAGTTTAGGTGTCACAGAATAAGAATATACCAGAAAAACTTTTTTTCATTCGGTCATTCCCTTAAAAAACGAGTTTAAAGTCTCAAAAAACCGTATTTTTAGCACTTTTTGAGGCAGCGTAACAAGAAAACGCAACATGATAAAAATCTCTACAAAAGCTTAAATAAAAGCTTAAACCTTCAACTTTAAGGCTCAGAACTGAAAAGTACTTAAATAAGCACTGAAAACCTGCAGTCACTATCTGAAATTATCAAAAAAGCTGGGTTAGGTAGCACTTGGTAAAAATCAATTTCCCTAACCGGATTCGGTTGCAAATTGTTATTTTAGGTTTTTGAGGTTTCTAATGACGAATTGGAACTTAGATTTGAAAAATTTCAAAGTGGCGGACTCAATTTTTTAAAATTATTAACGCAAATTTTGAAAAATTGAGTGAATTCATTATTTTCAGTCCGCCATTTTGAAATTTTTAAATCTAAGTTCCAATTCGTCATTAGAAACCTCAAAAAACTTCAAATAACAAGTTGCAACCGAATCCGCTTAAGGAAATCGATTTTTACCAATTGCTTCCTGTTCTAGCTTTTTTTGACAATTTCAGGTAGCGACTGCTTAATTAAGGAGGTTTTCATTGATTATTTAAGTACTTTTCAGTTCTGAGCCTCAAAGTTGAAGGTTTAAGCTTTTATTTAAGCTCTTGTAGAGATTTTTATCATGTTGCGTTTTCTTGTTACGCTGCCTCAATTAGTGCTAAAAATACGGTTTTTGACACTTTAAACTCGTTTTTTTAAGGGAATGACCGAATGAAAAAATGTTTTACTGGTATATTCTTATTCAGTGACACCTAAACTTTCAATAAACACAGGAAACTTTGAATAAACACGATATGACCATTTTTTTGTAACCCAGTGTTATCTATATTAATAATCTAAATAAAAAGAATAGGACCAATTAGGACGGGAGAAAATGATGATTAAACTATGATTCTTTCTTTTTTATTAAAAAAAAATTTATTAGCAATAGAATTATTATTAAATGAACTTGTTTAACAAAAATAATCGATATATTAAATCTCACAATACTTTTTTTGCTTCCTAGTGAAGGAAGATTTTTTTTACTGTACACGCCGCTTTTTTTCTTTTATTATAAAAGTCCGGGAATCCAACTCTTACCTGAAAAAAATAGAATTTAATCGATTTTAAATTTAATTACTATTTAAAATAGTAATTGGAAAAGTGAATGGCAGCAATTTTTATTATTAGTTTTTTTTGTCTGTTGGGATATTTTGAAAATAGGTATTTCTAAAAATATATTTACCACCCGCGACGGAATAAAGTTTTTGAGTTTCCTCTGGACTCAATTTTAGAATTGTATTAAGTACAGGAATTAGATGATTTTTCTCGTCTCCATTTTTTAATGTAACAAACTGAAAGAAATCGACAATTTTTTCAATTTTTTTTCAAACAAATTCAAATTTAATTTCGAAAAAGCTTTAAGATATAAATAAAGATAGTAATAATATTATTATTTTTCATTTATTGTAAAGTAATTGTTGAATAATTAAATAAAAAAAATTGTTATTCATTTAAACACCAGAAAACTTTTAAAAAAAGTAATGTTCTCTCGTTTCGAATATTACCTTGAAAACGACATTTTTAAGATATTCAAAATTATTTGCGTGTTGTTCTCTCTCAACACTTCGTTGTTGCCTGCGAATATCCTCTTTCAAAATTTCATTTAATTGCGTTAATTTTGCAATATCTCGTTCAGCGTCTGCTAAAAGAACCGTTAAATGTTTAACTCTTCGTTCGCAGACTTCAAATTCTTGTCTGCTCACTTTTTGAGGTAAAACAGGTTGAATTTCAGGTGGATTGTAATCGTCCGATGAATTGAGTAATTCATCGAGAGGTATTAATGAATGTTTGCGATATCTTTCTCCATTTGTCAGAGCAATTGGACAAGAGTCAATACTTTCTGATCCCTGTAAAAAATAATTTTCATTTGTATTTTTTTCTATTATTTAATTAATAATTATTTAATATTCAATTAATTTAATTTAATTAATATTTAATAATAATTATTTCCGTGAGGCTTTCTAAATTTATTTATTATTAGAAATTATTAATTTAATAGGATTTATATTTTTTCCTACCTCACATTCTTCTCGTTCAATTAGCGGAATTTCTTGCAATCGCGATTGTTGATTAGAATCTGTATTAGAATCAAAATTCCTCTCTTGGAAAATAACTCTCGGAGTGTCGGAAAATTCGGTTAATTTCAGTTTTTCCAATTCGAATTTTAAATCGTGATTTTGTTGTTCAAAATGTTCCCTCGTTGCTCTTAGCTCGGTCTAATTAGAAAATTAAAATTATTTTCTTTTTTTATTAATAAAACTAATTTTTATTTTTTGTTACTTTTTCTTTGCTCAGCAACTAATTTTTATTTTCGCAAATAAAATACCTTGTGATTTTTTTGTAAACTCTCCAATTCCTTTTTATGGTCGGCAATTATTTTTTGAATTTTCATTTCTTGCGATCTGTATTGTTCAGTGAGGGAAGAAATTTCTTGACGTGAATTTAATTGCCGTCTATTCGATTCCGTGAGGCTTTCTAAAGAACGATTTTTCTCTTCCTTAAGTATCATTAACTCCTTGGATAGCATTTCTAATTTTTGCCTATAAAGAAATATTCGATTAATATAAATTTATTTATAAATTTTTGAAAATTTTTTGAAAATTTAGAAAATAGATTTTCTTACTCATAGATTTTGAGTTTTTCCTGAAGATGTTTATTTTGCTGTTGTGATTGTAATAATTCTTCTTCCATTTCAACAATACTTTTTCCGCCAATTCCAATTTCTTTATTTTGATTTTGTTTCGTTCTCAGCACACTTTGCGCTCTTCTCTTATAACCACTGAATTCTTCTTGTAAATTTTCCGTCTCCTTTTTAGAGTTCGTTAAAGCTGAATTTAAATGCAATATTTCGGTCGACATATCTCTCAACTGTAAATGAAAAAAAATTGATTTTAAATTAAGAAAAAGCGAAATATATTAAAATAAATATCGAAATATTAGAATAAATATCGAAATATTAAAATAAATAGCGAAATATTAATTTTAAAGTAAATAAATTTCCGTATTTGCATTTTACCTGATTTTCTAGAATGTCCTTTTTTGTTTTAAATTCATTTGTCAGTATATCTCTATTAGTTTCTAGGGATTGGATTTTTTTCAATAAGTTTGATTTCTCATTTTGTGAGTCTTTTAATTGCGATAAAAAGTCTTGAATCTCTCGTTGCATTCCTTCGGTTTCAAGCCTCATTTCGTTCACTTCTGCTTTTATATTTTCATTTCTCTCCTCTAGATTCGTGACTTGATTTGTTTTTTTCAAACAACTACTTCGCATCTCATTCATTTGTTTATTTAACAATGATATTGTTTCTAAATGTTCATCTATTGTCTTCTCTAGAGATTTTCGATTTGCCTCCTCGTCCTTTAGTTTTAACTTCATTTCTTCAATGCTTTTCTGAAAATTAAAGATAAATTTGACAAACGTTTCTTTTTTGTGATTAAATAAAATTTATTTTGTTTTATAAAGAAATTTTCCAACAAAAGAAATTAACGTAATTGACAATAGAAATTTTTAGAATCTTTAGAGAAAGAAAATAAATAATACAAACCTCGTAATTTTCAACTTCCAATGACAAAACGCTGCTATTTGTATGATTTTGTTTAATAGCTTCCAATTGCGAACGAGTTGTCTTATGTCCTTGAATTTCAGACTCGAAATTAATTTTCAAAGCATCGTATTCCTTGACTTTTTGCTCTCTTATCACATTTTCGGCACTCAATTCCTCGCTCAATGATTTAATTTGCTCTTGTAAATGCTTAATTGTATTTTCTAATTTGCTTCTATCTTTAAACAATTGTTCAGATTTGGTTGATAATTGAGAAGTCGAATCTTTCTCATTGTAGAGAGATTCTTTAAGAGAGGCATTCTCATCAACGAGAGTTTCGATATTTTTCATTAATTTCTTATTCTCCGATTTTTGTTGTTCAAATTTATCTTGTAATTTGTCATACTCAAGTTGAATAGTCTAAAAATTAATTTTATCATTTAATCTCCAGTTTTCGTAAAATATTTCTTTGCTTATTAATATTTTAATTAATTCTAATTATTTAGTTTCTATTATTTCTAATTATTTAGTTAATTAGACAGTTGAGAATAGCTAAGGTTAATTAATTAACTGAAAAGTTAACGATTACCTGTATTTTCTTTGCATTATTTGATATTTGAATTATTTTTTGTTGCATTTCATCTTTTTCATTGTGAAGAGCTGTCTTTTCTGATTCTAATTGCTTTATCTGATCGGACAAATCTGAAACCTTTTTCTTTAATTTTACAGCAAGACCTCGAAGCTGAAATTTTTAAAAATTCGAAATTAAAATTAATTGTTAAATATTTGAAATTAAAGATAATTTATAACTCACTTTATTATAACGTTCCTCGATAGTTTCCTTATTAATTGTCGATTCACTCACATTTGTAATTGATTCAGTCATCTGTAAATAGATTTTCGGTAAACTAATTAATCAATCACACGATTTGCATTTAATTTATTTATATTTAACGATGTTTTTTTAAATCTGTTTCTAAAATTAAAAATAGTAAAAATCATACGAACTATGTTCTAATAAAGCGAAGTTCAGCTTTTTTAGGTTATGATTGAAACTACCTTCAAAAACTATTTTTATTACAATAATAATCTTTTGTCAATGTTATAAAAATAGCAAAGAAACATTAAGTAATACAATAATGTTAATTAAAGTTTATTTTTCAAAAATCACAAAATAATAAACAAGAGAAAACATTTGAAAAATTACCTCATTCTTTTCAGACTTATCGTTGTCCATTTTTCTTCTATTTTTCGCTAGAGATTAGAATTTTAATACAAATGTTGAAAAATAATCACTCTGATAATGTTTGATAACTGAATAAAATGGAGTTTTTAATAGGAAATCAGCTGATAAGTAAATATCACATAAAAGTACTGGATATGTCATTACAATAAATGCGCAGTGCGTGTAATGATGAAATTATTCTCTACTTTTTAATATTTTTTATTGTCATTATTTTTTCGTTGTCTTAATTTTTAAACTTCATTAAAAGTTCACTTAATTTTAATGACACTCAAGTTTTACTAGCTAAATATTAATGAAAAGTATTATCATAAACGTCAAAATTTGACAGTTCTCACTGTCAGCAGCTAACTTCACAACTATTTACCATTCGATTTATCGATCTGCGTGGCGCGAAAATTTAAAAATAAAAACACAGTTACAAAAAATTAATATGTAAAAAAATAAATTAAACGATTGGTAGAAATTTTTTGATAGTAAAATATTATTAAATGTTTACGAATATATTTATTGAGGGCAGAAAATATTTAGTAAATAATCAGGTCTAATTACACAGAGGGAATAATTATTTCAAAAATTTGTTTCTTGTAAAAAATAAATATTAAAACAAATATAAAAATAAATATAAATAAATACAAATAAATATAAAAATAAATATAAATAAATATAAAAATGAATATAAATAAATATGAAAATAAATATAAACAAATGTAAAAATAAATATAAATAAAAGTATAAATAAATATAAATGAATAAATAAATATTAAACAAATTATAAATAAATAATGGAAAAGTATAGTTAAAAAAAAATTAAGGTGGAAAATATAACAAAATTGTTGCTCTGATTATTTTTGAACGGTAAAAATTAGAAAATATTGAAATTAAATTTTAGAAGAATTATAAATTGAATTTTTTAATCGGTATTTTTTCCGATTTTATCCTAATTTTCCTTATGAATAAAATATATAACAAGACGATGAAACTCGTGTTCCCGCGCCACTTTCGCACATCCTCTCGTTCCCTACACGTGCAATGTTTTACACTAAGTGCACATCGACTAGAATTTTATTACTCGCAGGCGACAATATTTCATTATTAAACAAAATACCTTATGCACTATTAAAAAATCCTATTTTTCTAATTAGAATTTTATTTCTTTTTTAAATTATTTTCTAAATATATTTACACATTTTTACATTACCCACACTTTTTATTAATTTAAAATTAAAACTGCTTAATGTATTTTTTAAAAATTATAATTAATAATTATAATTACATTTATAAACCAATATTTTTTTTTTATTGCTGTCTGTTTATTTTTAAATTCTCATTTTTGCGCTGAAAAAAAAATTTATTTGATTCAAATAGCCAATTACTTGTTTATTATAAAATAAATATTTATACTTGAATCAAATAATTTTCATTTGAATCGAATAAATTTTATTCAAACCATTAATTTCTGTATTTGAAGCAAATGGCATTTAATTGACTTAAATAATAATTTTCTTTGATACAAATAAATATTTACTTGAATCAAATAATTTTCATTTAATTCAAATAAATTATATTCAAACCAATAATTTCAGTATTTGAAGCAAATATCATTTAATTGACTTAAATAATAATTATATTTGATACAAATAAATATTTATTTGATTAGACAAGTAATCGGTTATTTGAATCAAATTAATTATTTTCAGTGTGTGTTATTTAAAATATGTAATCGAAAAAACACTGAAAAAGAATTAATTTATTAAAATAATTCGTTTATATTTAATAGTCATTATTAAACATTTTTTTATTTAATTATGCTCCCTTAATTTATTATTCTTATTTAATTATACTTGATAATAAATAGTATAATAAATAAATAAGAAATAATTAAATTATTATAAAAAATTTGAATAAAAAAAGAAAATAAAAAATGTTAATAAAATTCAATAATTAAAAGTTTAATTCCAATTATTAAGAATTACGATTATTTTAAATACTTGAAAGAATTTGTTCATAAAATTCAATTACTTTAAAAATGTTCAATTAAAATTATTAAAGAAACTCCATAATTAAAAAAAAATCCAAAGAAATTCTTCAAAACAATTTAATTAGGATTTTCAAAAAATTTATTAAAAATTCTTTGCAAGAATTTTATTATTTTCATAAGTAATGAAATTCGTCCAAGGAAAACAATAAATAATTACCTATAATTAATTAGTAAATTAGTAAATAATTAATTTTTATTTAATTTTGAATCTGAAATTATTCCAAAATTTTCTAATAAAAAATATTTAAATATAATAATTTTTATTTATTTTAAGCAGTAAACGGAACAATATTTATTAAAAGGAAAAAAGAAGAATAATAATAAAAATAATAATAGTAAAAATTTTAATAATAAAATAGTTTAAAATTTAAATATTATTTTATTTCTTTATTATTTATGAAGAAAAAATAGCAAGAAATAATTCAATAATTTAATTTTGTTTACCAACAAAAAATTACTTTAATAATTAAAAATTACCTGCTTGAACCAAACATTTTTTTTTTGTTAAAATAAAACATATTTTTTGTTATAATATTCACTTAATTTGATTTAAAAAATTGGAAAATTATTCACTTAAAGTATTCTATTGTTTTTGGTTAAATTTTCCTAACTGTGTTATTATTGTTGAGCGCGAGAATTTGATAGAATAAAGAAATTTTAAGAAAGATTCTTTGTATCTCTATATATAGGTATAAAATAAAAAGGGGAGAAAAAGGGATGGTTGTTAAAAGACGATTAATTTTCTTGTCAGTAACAGTAGCCTGTGTTACTGTTCTAGAAAAAAAGCACTGCAAGTATTGATTGTCAAATACAGATGCGTCTGTACCACTTTCGTTGAAGAAATTATATATCATCTCTACTATTGCATTATTCGAATGCTCAACGGAAACTGTGTTTTTTTTTCTTTTTATTATCTCTATGTTCATGTGTAAAATCAATTTTTATTACTATCACAATTTTATTTTTAAAAATATGCTCTTTTTACAAATTTTTATTTCTCACAGCTAAAGAAAATCTTTATTTAATTTTTCTATGAACATTTTTTTATAAATTTTTTTATTTATTCATATTTAATTAATAAAATTTAATTACAGTATAAAGAATCCAAACAATATTGCTAATATTTATTTAAATAGATTTGAAAAAACTAAATAATTTTTTTTCTAATTTGTAAGCACAATATTTAAAAATATTTTTGCAACAATTTTAAACAAGTTTTAAAAAGTAGAAAAAAATCGAGTATTTCTTGATAACAAAAATGTTTTGTCTGCTAAGTGACAGTAAAGTGAGACTATTATAACGTCCAGGACAAATGCTTTCTCGTTAAAACTTTAACTATAACGCATTTACCAATAGTGATAGACATATTGTATAGTCACCTTAATTAATAATTCAAATCTGAAACAATTAATTGTACAATGATTAATTATTGTTATTGTTTGGACATTTCATTTCATTTTCTTTATTATTTCTTTCTAAAATTTTTTTTTTCTTTGTCTCTAAAGAATAATAATCAATTATTGTCAAAATAAATTTATTTATTAATATAAATAATATTAATTTTTTTAATTTATTATTTATTATAGTCAAAGTTAATATTAATCTTTATACCTAATCAAAGTTAATAATAATCTTTATACTAATAATTATTAATTATTAATTTGTACTCCCAGTAACTAATTAGTAATAAATAAATTCCAATTTTTTTTATTATGGTAATAATTTCTTTAATTAGTTTATTAATTAAATTCGCGGTAATATTCAAAAATAATATTTATGATCAAAGTGAAGAGCAATGTTAATAAAATTTTTGTTTAGTAGTATCAAAATTACTTTAATTACTTTATCAAAATTACACGTAGTGGCTGATGACCTAGTTACCGTATTTTTTTTTTTTTTTATTATTTTGTCGGATATTCTAAATAAATTATTCTCGTAAATTTTTTTCCTCATTCGTCTCGTAGCGCCTTCAACTCGAAGGCTTTCTCACATATTTCCGATGAACGAAATGGCCATATAAACTAGGTGAGAAGCTGTATATCCGGAGGGTTCACGTGACACCGATCCTCGCATCCGTTATAGAATAGTTCGTCGCAGACGCACGCGGGAACCGAGATCAACTCCCTTGACAAATCTAAAAAGTCTGAGATGATTCCAAATTCGGTTTGAAAATTATTTTTATAAATACATATGTCATCTCTTTAATTCCCGCACACTAATATTTATTCAAACCAAACATCCCTTTCCCTCTCTACTGTGATTTATTCCTTCCGGTTCTATTAGGCATTTCATAACAAATCTTTCAAAATATTTTTCTCAGCGGAAATTTTTTTTGTTTTGATATACATTTCTTTTGTATACATACATAAATCTGAATCGGTGAAAATTGAGCAACTATTATGAATATTAGTGACTTTAGTTTTTACAGGGTTGCTACAAAAATGTAATTTTGTTTTTCCCCTGATTTTCAGACAGAAATTTTGACTTTTTCCCTGACCCTAAAGAATATTCTGATTAGCTCTATAAAAAAAGATTAGATACTGAGAAAAATGATGTAAATTTATTTAAGAATTTCTATTTCATTAAAAATTATTCAAGAACATATTTAAATATATATTTAATTATTATATTTTATCGTAGGAATTAAAATTTTTCAAAAAATTCAAATTCAATCACTCAGAGTCTTTGATTCGAAGTGATTGATTTCTTCATGTTTTAATAATTAAAGATAACCCATAGTGATAAAATTATTATTTTATAATAATGCTTCTAATATTAAATTATTATCTAAAATTTTAACCGTAATTCACTTTTAAATTAATTTTTATTAGAAAATTATACGAGAATTTAATTATTTATATATACAAAAGTAAATATTTTATTGAATAATTAAATGATTCTTAAATTTTAATTTTTAGTAAGAATTTTATTAAAACAAATGTTGAAAATAATTATAAATATTATTTGATTCAATTAAATATTTAATTGATAATAGTAAATTAATCAGTTATTTGCATGGTTAACACAGATTATATATTATATATTATATTAACAATTACTATTTATATTAATAATGTTAATAATAATGTTATTTGAAATAATTAACTTTATTATTAATTTGGATTATAAATATTTCTGTTAAATGTTAAAACATTTATTGAACCATTGTGTTTATTAAAAATATAGTTTTTAAAATATGGAAATAAACAAAGGAAAAGTATTTACACAGAATGATAACAAAGAATTATATTTATTTTTGAAAGGGGAATTTTCATTGAACATATATATATATAT